TTTCCCCTTTTTTTTTCTTTCTCAAATTTCTCCTTTCTTCAATTTTAACGCGACCAAATTTCGCAATTACTCCTTTCTTTTCATTCCCAAATTTTCCCGTTCAAAGAAATTTCCGACTTACTCCTTTCTTCTCTTTCCCAGATTTTCCCGCCGATTTGTCCCTTTCTTCAATTTCGACGCAATCAAATTTCTCCGTTCCGACTTGAGCCGTCATTTTCACCGTCGCAATCTCGATTCTCTCGTTCGCATAAGAGGGTGGGAATCTGTAGTTTCGAGAATAAGAAACACTCGTGGTTCCTCGACCCGACAGCCTTTCCGCTATCCCTTATCGGCGCCTCTTTTTATTGTTCTTTCTTCCGCAAAACCTCGAATCGCCTCGTTCTCCGGATACAGCCGCGAATAAATACACTCTTGGAAAACATAATTAACGGAGTCGTGTGGCACGTAGCCGCGATAAAGAGTCGACGTACGCGCAGCTCGTGCTCTGCAGCCTGTTATCAGGGTAAAAAGTACATTTAATGTGTCTGTCTCGGCGAGTTCGCGATAAATCACGCGGCGAAACCACGCGTTTTAAAAGGCGCACCCCGGATCCGGAGTGAATCGGTTCGCTGTGAACTTTACTCCGACCGACAATGTTCGAAACACAACGCGTCCGTCGATCCGTACTTTTTACCCCTTTTCTCTTCTCCTTGCCGATTCTTACACGTTGCATTGCTATAGGGGGAAGAAAAGGGACACGCAGCGACAATTCTTTCGCGATCATTGTCGATAATTAATCGGAATAATTAATCACAACGATCCGGAGCTAATCGTGCGTTTAGATTGACATAATTGGCTGGGTAATTAGGTTTAGCTTGATTGGAACTGCTGAAAGGGTTCATTGTAAAATAATTTAGCTCTGAGAGAAAATTGGTTTCTCGAAGTTTGAGCAGTTAGAGGAAATTAGGATAATTGCTTATGTCTACCGCGATTGGAACTACTGAAAGGATTAATTGTACAATGATTGAGCCATAGATGAAAATTAAGTTTTGGAAGTTTGAGTAGCTTGAGCAAAGGAAATTTCTTAATTGTAAATAATTAGAATAATTGTTCGTGTTTATCGTGATTGGAACTACCGAAAGGGTTAATTTTTCAATAGTTGAGCTATAAATTGAACTTCATTTTTGGAAGTTTGAGCAGTTCGAGTAAAGGAAGTTCACTAGTTATGCGTAATTAGACTTAATTGCTTGTTAATTGCAAAGTAGTCGAGCTACACGAAAGTGAAACTGAACTTTTGAAATTTTGCTATTGAGCAAAGAAAATTTGCTAATTACAAATAATTGGAGTAACCGTTCAAAGTCCTAGCAATTTTTTTTCACTTAACTGCACACTTTACGAGACGTTTTCACAGCAAAGATACGCTGTTTTGTTTGTGTAATGTTGATCATTTCAGTGCCATTATTAATGCGATACGTATTATACTTAACGCTAATAACGACTGTTTAATAACATTCAATAAAAAATCCAGAAATAACCAAAACAATGAATCCAGACAGGCATGAAACTGTAACGATAAACAATTGAGCTCGGTATGCGTTCAACTTTATTCCCACTTGATTCGACGTACACGTTTGAACACGGCTAAAGGAAACAAATAAAAATAAATTCTTCACTCTGCCTTGTTAAATAAGATATCGATAGTGAAAGTAAAAAGAAAGTATTTTTCTGCGCGTATTTTTCAACCTTATCATTTTAGGATAGGAAGGAGAAAAACGATACGTTTTGTATCTCTTCAATTTTACAAATAAAACCACTTCTAGAGACCGTTTCGACAAACAAACCTCCATTCATTTTCACAGAAAATTCATATTTGTGATACTTGGAATATTCACAGAACGTTATTTTTATTTTTATCATTTTAATAAGTCCACGTTAAACGGTATAAAATTTTTCTAGGATT